GTGTTCAATACTTATTTTACCCGCTGTATGTGTGTGTGTATATATATATATATATATATATATATATATATGAACTTAAATATCTTTAAAAAATAAAGATTAAACTTCAATATGCACCATACCAAATTAAACACAGATCATCTAATTGTGTCCCCTATTCTTTCCCCATTACTTTATTAGTGGCTGCATTGAATTAACGTGAGCATAAATTGTGATTTACTACATTTTACAGCCCTATTAGTAACTGTTAAGAGACACACAGCAAATATCTTCTGTATTGTAGTTATGAAATTGCTGTCATTTTGTGTAGGTTTAGACTTCAGGGGTTTGATACTGTAATTGACAACTCTTGATGGATTCCAAAAACATATTGAATGAATACAAAGGCATATAACTAAATACTGCTTCACACAAAGTGATTATAAATTTGCAGTCTGGGTATTTTTGCTCTCTCTGTAGGCAAAAAAAAGAGAAAAAATGGAAGTTGGATGTTTAGTCAACCACTGAAATCCTGAGTTTACAGAAAATGAATAAAAATGTCACCAAAGCCAGCAATCTAAGTACACACTTAGGGGAAAAAAAAAAGATCTACAACTAAAGACTTCCTGACTTAATGTATTTGTGCATTAATTTAAGAATAATATACCCTCCTTCTGGGCCTGTAATTGAGTAGCATAAACTCCCCATCCTGGTAATAATTCCTTAGTCTTTGCCTGAAGTGCCATAAACTCTCCACATCCGCCCACAGTGTTGGCTGCCAGTCTTTTATGACCTTATAGTGTACTTTGACAATTTGTTGAAGGATTTCTGGGATTTTTTCGTCTGCAATGTTGAACCTTCAGACTGACTGAGTTATGAAAGGTATTCAAGTATTTTTTTTTTTTTAAGTGTCCAGCATGCTTGTCTTCCCTCTACTGACATTCCTTCCATGCCATTCCTTCATTTCTGCAAGAAAAAAGGCGCTCTTGCAACATTTGCAATTTTTTTCCTCACTTTCAGAGTATTAATGCAATTTAAGAACTTCTCCTAAGTTGAATTGCTCGAACTGTAACATTAAAATCCCTGCAGGTGGTAGATTATGTTTACACCAGCCCGAACCAGCGCGTCCTGCTTACTGTTGCCAGATCCTGCAAAATGAAACAAGCAGCAAGCAGGAAATGCACTTGATTTGTAATAAGAGACTCCCTCGCTCTGCTTTCTACTTTAAATAGCAACAACAGAGATATATCAACATTAAATGCGGCTAAATTAAATCAACTGACAGAGGAAAGTAGGATAATTCACCAGATAAAGGCTTTAATCTCCTGAATGAAACTTTATCCAAACCTTTTCTTTATTGGCCTTGTTTCTGTTCCACTAACCCACATGTCTCCACACACAAATATCATCATAGAAACTGGATTCAACGCGTCCCCAAAATGCGTCATGCGCAACGCACTCTGGACCCCACGGAGCCGAAACAATGTCAGTCAGAGGCAACTTTAACGAGCACCTACCGCTTCCAAGCGCCACTTTGTTGTTTTCCAGTATGATAATATCCGGGTGTGAAATAAAAGGAAACAGATATATGTTTTAGAAAATATTATTCCCAACGAGAAAGAGCGAGGGGGAGAAAAAAAAAAAACAAAAAAACTACTGGCAGTGAAAACGAGGACAGACAATGGTAGCAGAGCTGTCGGGACAAACTTGGTTGTAAACGAGGAGGAGGAGGAAGGGAGAGAGGCGGAGAGGGAGGGAGGGAGGAGGAGGAGGAATGCCTGGAATGATGGAATTCAGTTCCTAGCAGGTGGTGAAAGTGGAGCGCTGATTGGTGCAGCTCTGAGGCAGTGATATCAGCATGCATTATGATGTTGAAGCATTGCATCACGCAGCTGTCATTGTGACCCTGGGAGGGCTGCACAGTTATCACCTACAGCAGCAGTGGAAGCGTCTCCAGGCAGGAAGCATTTACTTCAACAAAGCGTAAATATAACCTAAAGCATTTATGTCAATGGGGATTCTTGAAGATATTTATCAGGGAGGGCCAGGGTGGGGTCTGTCTGTGTGTTTGTTTGTGTGTGTTTTGTTAAAAAACAAACAAACAAACAAAAAAAACTGCAATAACTTGTGCAATGTATAATGTGCAATTAGTTTTAGATACATTAGACAGATTTACATTGTCATTTTGTATACACGAGTGTATACAAAAAGAAATTTCATTTAAAACAGCTTTCATTTTTTAAAGTGCAGCCTTGAAAAACAGCAATAAATACATACATAAAGAAAAAAAGGAATCTAAACAAATTAGATTAGATTCAACTTTATTGTCATTACACAGGTACAGGTACAAGGACACAAAATGCATTTTAGGTCTAACCAGAAGTGCAATAGCAGCAAGTGCAGGATAAATAATGGTAATAGGGGGAGGGTGTCTGTGATGTGCACCCCCAGGAATTTGGTGCTGTTGACCACCGCTACAACTGAGCTGTTGATGACCAGTGGAGCGTAGTTAGGCCGGTACTTCCTGAAGTCCAAGATGATCTCCTTCTTCTCCAGGCTCAGAATCAGGCTGTTATCTTTGCACCAGTCCACCAGCTGCTCCACCTCTTCTCTGTAGTTCTGGTCATTGTCATCATCAATTACTATTTAATACCCTGCGCAATAACCTGTTTCTTTATATTTGACACCCCGAGTAATAACTACATATATATATACATATACATATA